CCGGTAACCACTCCCGTCCAGGACGGTGGCAGACACGGCTCCCACCTCCCTCAGCCCAACTAGCAGGAGTACAGGACAGGCTCTGGCCCCCTGGCTGTGTAGGGCAAGAAAGTAAGTGACTGCCCATCCCAACTCACACAGAAGGACCCCGATTACCACCCTCCAGGGGGAGATCATGCCAGCCGCGCCCCTGCCTCCTGGGGAGGATAACTCAAGGGTCAGCAAAGAGCATTCCTGTTCTTCGCAGCCTCCCTCAGTACCACCTCAAGCCCACAGGAAGCAAGCACCCCCTCAGCAGAACCAGCCCCCTCCCGCATGGTACCTTCACGAACTCTGTGCCTGACCTTTGCTCACACTGTTCAGTGCTGAGATTATCTTATCTCCCAGGTGAACTGTGAGCACCCCAAGGGCAGGGACAGTGCCTACCCCCTCCCCACGGTGCCCAGTGAAGAAAACCTCTTTCTTGTTTACTGAGAGAGCAAATTCTTACCAGCCAACTGACCTGTGGCCCACTTCCTCCTTGAAAACCTCTAGCCCGGGAGCTGTTCCCAAAGCCAAAGCCCCTGAGGGCCCCTTGGCCAGGGTGAAGGCGAGTGGAGGGGTGGGGACATGGAGGACGGCAAAGGGATGGCTTGGAGCCAGCTTGCGGGACTGTGCCAAGGGCCAGGTGGGCCGGGTCCCCCCCCCCGTCAGCCACAGCTGGCTCCCCCCGCCCCCTCCTGTCAGTCTTTCAGCCAAGCAAGGCGCCCACCTGTGGGTGTGCCCACTTCAAACCCATCTCCTGTACCCCAACCAGGGGTGAGAGTCCTCATACAGGACTCAGCTCTGTCCCTACAGCAAGCACTTGGGCTGGTAATATAAGCAGGACCCCAGGCCAGCCAATCATTGGGGGACAGATGAGGGGCCCCCATGAAGACCATTTTCGGGAGAGTCGGAGGGATGAGAAAGCCTCCTGCACTGCCCCCTGCCCCTGTCCTCAGGCAGTCCCACTCCCCGGCTGCCCCACCCTCCTCTGGGAGCCTTCTCTACCCCCAAGGCACCCCTCATAGCCCTCAGGAGGGACCTCCTTCATCACAGACTGCCAGATTCCACCCATCTCCTTCCAGGAAGAGGACTCTGCATGGCTGCAACCAGCCCACCTAGGGCGGCAGGCTCACCCTGGGAATGAGCGTCACCCACCTAAAGATGGGCAGAGGGAGGGGCATCTGGAAGCTGGGCTGCGGACAGCTCCTCTCGACACCTCCATCTGGGTGACCCTTGGCAGGAAACCATCCATCCCTAAAGCCTGTTTCCCCGCGGGGGTCCAAAAGGGAACACCTGTCTATACGAAGTCTGAGAGCCAGGCTCTCGGAATCGGAGACCGCGCTGCTGCGGACACGCCCCGGGGACCAGGGAAGGTTGCGGGGACCCTGGGTCAAGGGTCAAAGGTTAGGGGTCAGGAGCTTCGCTACCTCAGATCCCAGGGGCCACTGCCCACGTCGACGTCTCCGTCCTTGTCCTTGTCCGGGGCTGGCGCGTCCCCCCCGGCGCCCACGTCCCGCACCTCTTCCGCCGCCGCGGGCCCGCTGCCGCCCTGGCTC